TGAGCCCAGAAGACAGAGCGAGACTCTGTCTCAAAAAAAAAAAAGATCTCAAATCTGTTCTCGTCCTAGCTCTCCTCTCCACTGCTACCACCCTAGTCTAAGGCCACCATCCCCTCTCACCTGTATCACTGAAATGGCCTGATTGCCCCAGCTTTCTCTCTTAGCTTTCTGACTGACCAATTCACCATACAAAGGCCACAACAATCTTCTCAAATTGTAAATCGCATCACATACTTCCCAGCTTAAAGCCCTTCAAAGGCTTCCCACTGTACTGAGAATAAAAAATCTAGACTCCTCACCTACAGCTTCCCAGTTACTTTTCTAATTTTACCCTGAGCCACTCTCTAGCCACAGAGGCCTCCTTTTAGTTCCTAGGATGGGCTGCCCCAAACTCTTGGCACATCATACTCCCTCTACCTGGAATTCATTTTCCTTCATTCTTTGCATGGCTAGGCCCTTATCTTCCTTTGCATCTTAATTTAAATATGCTTCCTCAAAGAAGCCCAGCCCAATCATGCTAGCTAAGAAGATCCCCATCATGTCCCCTCCATTAAACCACAAAACATGTTCATTTTCTTTACAGCTCTTTTTTCAATTTGTAATTATCTATTTATTTTGCTTATTTACCTGTTCATTCACTCTTCCACTATCTCCATGAGGGCAGGGATTATGTCTGTTTTATTCACCACAGTATACTCAACTCCTCCCGTAAGATGGATGCTTAATAAATATTTGAATGGATAAATAATTGAATGAATGAAAAAACAGAAATCTCAGAGTGGGTGAGTGAGTGAGTAAAGAGAAAAAAAAAAGAAAGAAGAAAAAACAGAAATCTGAAAGTGCTTCAGAAAAGCTAAATTATGAATTCCTCCTGAGTGAACTAAAGGAATGAACATGCGATTTTATAAAGGATAATCTGCCCTAGAGCACCAAGCAAATCAACTTGAATGAGAAGGAAGCAAATTTACACTTTCCTGAGGTACTTAAAGAACGTTTCTTGGTCTGTCACCCTCAGTAGAATGCAGTGGTGTCATCATAGTTCACTACAAGCTCAAACTCCTGGACTTAAGCGATCCTCCTGCCTCAGTCTCTTGAGTAGCTGGGATTACAGGCATGCACCACCACCTCCAGCTAATTTTTTTCCTATTTTTAGTGGAGACAGGATCTCACTTTTGCTCAGGCTGGTCTAGACTCAGGACCTCAAGTGATCCTCCCACCTCGGCCTCCCAAGAGTGTTAGGATTACAGGCGTGAGTCACCGCACGACATTTGGGTTTTCTGAGACATTGTGTTACCTAAGAAATCACAAATGGATCTTCATTCCAAACGCAACAGAAAACCAACTGATAGTCAGCCTCGTTAGCAGAATATCAAAGAAATGGAAAAATGGATGGGGAATACTCTGGCATACCAACTGACTACTTTATTAACATTGCTTTAAATAAAAAGACCACATATGTTAGAATGTTGTTTGACTAAATGCAGAGAGAATCCCAGCACTTACCCTCAGAATTGACTGTATCGTTTGCATGGGATATGTGACCGTGGTGGCAATCGCTTTAGCTATTGCACCAATGATAAATACATCCAAAGAAGAAAGCTGGAAAGCAAAGAAAGAACAAACCATGTCAATCCAAACAAGAAGGTGTCAGAGATTATTTGGCTGCGTTCCAAACCAGGGATTACCTTCATCCGTTTCTTCAAAAGCTGCCGTTTTAAACCTTCATAGAACATGAATTGGATGGCAGGATTGAAGACCAACAGCAAGGAGGGAAATGTGCCATTCCATAAAGCCAAGATTCCTTCATCTCGAATGATCTGGTGAAAAGCATCTAAGCAAGAAATCAGGGATTTTTGAAAAGCATAATGATAATCCCCTACCTAGACGGGAAAACATGAATTCTGTCCAAATATACCCAGAACACAAACCACATTGGCTCTATAAAGATTTCCTTCTTGCAATGGTATTCTGGGGGCAAGTTTATCAGCTAACTACTGTTTAATAATCAGACACTGACAGTCACCAAGTTCTTTAGAGACCAACTTCAATCACAGGCAACTCTTACTGACAATCTGGGCTTAGAATGTCAAATTTTCCTAAGTAATTATCACCACTACTGGGAACTCTGTATTACACAGAATTGTGAACTGAGCCCACAGGTTTCACAATAAAGTCTAGTACAACAAAAGATGAGATCCTGGAGACCATTATAGTGGATGTGACTTATAAGAAAACTACCATTCTCATTACAAAGATTGATATGTGGGAACGGAGAAGCTGGCAATGTGGTACTATCAAAAAGCAGCTCAAAGATATCAGATACCAATTTGGTACCTTTATCCAAAGACAGCACAAGCAAAAAAAAGTATAGATTATTACTCAAAAATATTCATTCCCTCCTATCTATACTGCTTGGGTGTGGTATACTTCTCTATCCCTTATCTTGGGCTTGGCCAGTTAATGTGCTTTGGCCATTGGAATGTCAGCAAAGTGCAAACAGAGTCCTGAAATATGCTTGGACCAGTGGGTGTATCCTTTGTGTTTCTGCCACCACCATGAGACGAATATGCTCATGCTGGTCCCAGGAAGAGGAAGAGAGACATGTGGAGCTAAGACTCTCAGGCTGGGGTCACCCTAGATGAGTCAAATTCCTGTCAATCTACAGACACATGAGCTAAACAAATGCTACTAATGCTACTAATGCTGAGATTTGAGGTTGTCTGCTATGTAGCTTTATTGTGGCAATAGACTCCAGATGTAAAGAGGAAAGAAAACCCTTAAATAGGAACTCAGCCAAGAGACACTTACCAATAATACCTTTGTAGTTGGTGGGTACAATGTCTTCATTCCTAAATTTTGCTCCTTGCAGCTTCAGCCTGGTGTTTACCACCCACAGTGGAGTTGTTAGCAACACATTCACCACTCCTTTAAAAAGAAAGAGGGAGAGACAAAAGGAAAGCAAAATGTAACCGTTTAAGCTTTTCTGTCTTAAAGCAACATACCAATATTCCATTTATACCTCTTGCCACTGACCTCCTAGAAGACCTAAGGTAAGGTATCTCTTTGTGTCAGGGTACAACACAAGCCACTAGTGTTAGAAGCAATTTGGAAGCTTTGCTGATAGCAAATGCCTGGCAGCAGCACCTCTCCACATGAAAAGAGTAATGAGTTTCCTCATTTGTACAATAGGAAACAATCTACTTATCAATTTATATAGCATTCAAAGTAGCAATTTTGATATAGTTTTAAATATAATTTTATCATAACAGCTTTAGAGAGAGAAAGTGGCTTATAGATAACATGCTAAGTCCATGACAATATTAGATCAACCCCACAATTTACAACCCTCACATTAAGGAGTTCACATGGTTTTAAGTGAGTATGGATCTTGTACAATGGATGACAGGTGAGGGGAAAGGTGACATTTCAAAGTGCCTTAACAGTGTAGAAGCTCATCGAAGAGTTCCTGATTGCTTAGACAATTAGGATAGGCAAGCAGCAAGCAGCAGTTATGAAGTGTCACAAAACATCTGAAACAGCTTCACAACCATCATGATCCTTACAAGCTTAAGATGGGGATCTTGGCCCCCCAAGGTTGCCTCAGAGTGGAACAATACAATGAGCCAGGTGCTTCTTTTTGGAAAACACATGATTCCAATTTAACACCATCTTGAGATATTAAAATATTCCTCATCAGTCCTGAAATGATTAAAAAATACCAAACAGAATTGTGACAAAGTGCCTGACACATGGTATATACTTTGTAAATATTTGTTAATTAAATAATTGAATAAATGAACCAATGAACAAACTGCGAACAAGCACACATTGAGCTACACATTGAGCTATCTGGTTCCAGTCATGATATAAAGACCAACAGGCACAATCCTAAGAGAGAAATCTTTTTACTAAAAGTCACTTAAACACAACTGGAAAAACAATGTTTTGATTTAAGGAATCTCAAAACATTCTATAAAGAAAACACAGTCTAACCAAGGATAAACTTGGTGAAACTGCCAAGAGATTCAAATTCAAATTTTTCATTTGTATACAGTTGCTAAAGCAAGATATTTTGCTACCTATCTCTTAATAGCATTATCAGAACACATTTCTCAAAGTTAAAAAAGAAGACATTACCAAATACTTTTATGAGTTGTATTGTTTTATTTTTATAGATTCACATAATATCATGGAGACGTCATTAGTCATGACTTCATATATTCATACATTGTCATTTGAGGCATTGATCATAATCTGAAAAATTCTTACCTATAGATTCTTGCTAGTCTTATTTTTAAAAAGCACCAGTGTTTCAGAGGCCAAGATGGAAGGATATTAATACATGCCCATTTGCCCAGAGTTTAGAATGTATTCCTATTCAATGCAATGCACACTTCACTTAACAGAAAAACTAATAGCGAGAAAAATCAGACTAGAAAGAGCAGTCTACTGAATTTAAGAGAAAAGGAAGACAGGAGAGCTCAGAACCAGCGATCACAAGCTTCCATGGATACTGAAAAAAGGAATACTTTTCTAAATAAATATGTTGCCCATTAAATAAGTTCTTTAGAAATCAAAATTCCCTTCGTGTTCTATTCAAGAGGTAGGCACATATAAAACACTTAGGAGGCAATACGGCTAAGATTAAGATTTAACCATTATTTAAAATTCTGCTTTCATATCCCCATTATTAACACAAACGGAAAGACTGAAAGGATTCTTCTAAAGGACAACCTCAAGTACAAAAATGAACTAAACATTATTTAAATAAGAGAATATAAAGTCCTTGTAAAAACATTTTTTATTTCAAAGATTTTTATCTGTGAAGTTCAAGTACTGTTTTCACTCTCTAAGCCAAAATAGATGAAGAGGTATTTTTAACCATTATCATTTTATGAGTTCTAAGAAAAGCCACTCAAATACTTGAGAACCCAAAATTTTACTAAAATTTGCAACCTATATAACAAAGCAAAGGACAACATTCCACTGAGGAGAAACATGTCAGAAACCATTCATGAGCACCAATTCCAACTCTTATTAATGCCTAAAAGGCTGGAAGGTTAAAGAAAGCTGTCTGCTTATTTATGAGCCTATGAAGAAAACTCTTCTGCCAGTTCCAAGCTGTGGATGCTACTTCAGCTCTAAGATGGGAATGCTAATTAATATTTTACCTATCTAAGGACAGGAGATTGTTTATCTCTTAATTTTAATGTCTATAATTCTATTTTCTTTTTTTTGGTTTGTTAACAAATCATTCACAAGAAAACGAAACCCAAATTAAGAGATGAAGAACAGTAACTGAACACACTAAAATTATTCCCCAAATCAAACAACAATTGGAACATAGCTATTTACTCCTGAAATCTTGAAAACAAACAGTTTTATCAGCAGTGAACCTCCTTTATTTGGAAAGAAAACACACATGAAGTATGCTAATTGAGTATGAACTTCTGGGAAACAGGTACACCCCCCACCCACATAAGAACAAAGCCACAAATCTAACCACTTGACTCCTTAGGAAGGAATAAAACTTGACACACAACAGGGACACACCTGTCTTGCTAGATTTAAGGCCGAGGGGTGGGAAATGCATTTTGAAATATCACAACAATGATACTACCATTGGCATTAAAAAAGAGTTAGTGGTAAAAATTCCAATTTCATAAAAATGATAAGTGTCTCTTCATCTAAGTTATCTGTAAGGTTCTTTTCCCAAATTCTTCCCCAGGGCATTAAGCTTTATGGGCTTTCTTTCTGTGAAAATACAACAAAATAATACATTTCTAAGTTTCAAGCAGAATTTGAATAGCAACAATGCTGTTCCTAGTTCTCCTTGGAGATAATAAAACTAATTTCTTCAGTGATTATAATACTATGATAGGGCTCACAGCAGGAAGAGAAAAAGCTGTTCTAATTGTAAACTAAAAATAAAATCCTAAGCACCCCCTCCCAGAAAAACCTTAAAACTTAGTTTCCAGCCAGGAAGGGAAGGGAGGTCAGACATGCTTGTTATACCCTCTCCCTTCTGGAGTTTAGATTAATTGCAAACTGGACTCAAGGTCATACAAGGCAAATGTTAAGTAATGACTGCAGGCCATCAATTTACTTAACAGATCACTTTGAGTACATTGTACCTTGGTCTACAAATTAACAGAGTTCCTTATCTTAAAACATTCCTTTCTACCGATTCCAAGTCTTTAGAGGAAGCTTTATTTCTTTAACCAATTACAAATCAAAGAATCTTTGAACCCACCTATAACCTGAAACCTTCCCCCCTTGGAGATGTCCCGCCTTTTTGGGCCAAACCAATGTATACCTTCCATGTATGGTTTATGATTTTGCCCACAATTCCTGTCTTCCTAAAACGTATAAAACCTAAATGTAACCTGACCACCACGGGACCCCTTACTTGAGGTTTCTTGGGTATGGCTCCCAAGGCCATGGTCACGTGTATTCGGCTCAGGGTAAACCTCTGTAAATGATTTTACAGAGTTTGGTTTTTTTCCATTAACATAACCACTATAAAAATGTTTACATTAAGATATAAAAAACATGTTATCGAGAGAAGTTTAAAACTTCAAAAGTAATTCCCAAGGAATTCCCTATCTTCAGAAAAATAAAGGACTTATCATCAGATAATCTCAGAATTACAAAGGACTGTAAAATTCTTTAATCCAGGGTCTCTCAACTGTGACAATATTGACATTTTGGGCTGGATAATTCTTTGCTCTGTGTGTGTACGTTACTGTGTAGGATGTTTAGCAATATTCTTGGCCTGTACCCACTAGATGCCACATTTGACCCTGTGGGTCAAGATCAGCCTCATTTGAGAACCACTTATCTAAACCAATCACCAAGTGATTTTATTCACTTTATTTTTTTTGAGACAGAGTCTCACTCTGTTGCCCAGGGCTAGAGTGCTGAGGCTTCAGCCTAGCTCAAAGCAACCTCAAACTCCTGGGCTCAAGCAATTCTTCTGCCTCAGCCTCCCGAGTAGCTGGGACTTCCCTAGTAGCTGGGATTACAGGCATGTGCCACCGTGTCCAGCTAATTTTTTCTATATATTTTTAGTTGTCCAGCTAATTTCTTTCTATTTTTAGCAGAGACAGGGTCTCGTTCTTGCTCGGGCTGGCCTCGGCCTCCCAGAGTGCTAGGATTACAGGCGTGAGCCACTGTGCCCGGCCCACTTTATTTTTCAAAATCTCAAAAGATAGGATTTTACTTTGACCTCAAAGGTCTATTTGACCTCAACAGCCATTAAGAATATTTATTTTTATTGATATTAAATCTACCTTCTTAAAGCAACTGGAAATAAATATGAAACTTAGTACCTGTTTCTTTTTTTCCAAAGGTATGAATTAGCAATTGTGAATTGACTTTATGTGTGCTGTAGGGTAAGAGAAAATATTGTGATCCTGGTCCAATTCCTTTGGATAATAGAGAAAAAGTATAATCTCTCTTCCACAAGTCATTCATTCATGGTTTGTTAATCAAATATATATTTTGTGTCTAGTATGTGCTAAGCCTGGCTCTAGGTGTTGAGAATACAGCAGCAGATAAAAAATGAAAACCTCTGTCCTCATGAAGTTTACAATCTAACGGACTGTTAACCTGAAATAATCGAAAGGATCAGAATCCAGTTTTAAAGAGTTTATTCAAGCGAAAAGCTGGGAATGACCATCTGGGAAGTGCACGCTCCAGGAAATTGGTGTTAGTGCTCTGAAGTTAAAAGTTAAGGTCTTATTTACACAGGAAGAAAGGGAAGAGATTTAGTAGGATTTTGACATTTTCTATACAAAGCTAGTTTAATTAATTATAGATTTTGATTTTCTGTACAATTGTTTTCATTTCCTTTCCAATTTAAAAATGTATTTAACATTGCATCTTTGACAATGTCATTAAGTTTTTGTATGAGACAGGTAAGA